CTCTGAAGCCAAATACACTCTTGAGCTGCTAGAGTTGACGCTTTATACTCTGCTTCAGTTGTAGATAACGACACCGTTGCTTGCTTCTTACTGCACCATGAGACACTTGTGTTCCCACATAGGAAAACATAGCCTGAAGTTGATTTCCGATCATCAAGATCTCCACCAAAGTCAGCATCCGTGAAGCCATAAAGAGAGACCTTGGCATTATACTTGTACACCAGACCCATGCCAAGAGTTGTCTTCACATACTTCAATATCTTCTTTGCCGCTTCTAGATGTGGCTTCCTTGGTGCCTGCATAAACCGACTTACAAGACCTACCGCGAAGGCAATGTCAGGTCTTGTAATGGTTAAGTATAAAAGACTTCCTACAAGAGAGCGATAAGGCCGAGGATCAGGTAGTAAGGACCCTTCATCGCGTTTAAGCTTTATGTTGACATCCATTGGAGTAGAGCGTGTCTTTCCTTCGTGTACTCCAAACTTCTCAATGATTCTTCTTGCATAGCTTTGTTGGCCGATGAATATTCCACCCTTTACCCTTTCCACCTCCAAACCGAGAAAGTTGTTGAGCTCTCCCAACTTCTTCATCTCAAACCTTATCGACATATCCTCTTGTAAACGAGTAATTTCTGCATCATCATTCCCGGTAATTATCATATCATCCACGTAAAGGAGAACTACCACGTGGACTCCTCCATTCTTCTTGAAGAATAGACTCGGATCAGAGTTTGATGCCACATAACCGCAGAACTGAAGAAACTGAGCAAGCTTTCCATACCAGGCTCGTGGAGCTTGTTTTAACCCATACAAGGCCTTCTTCAGCTTACACACATAATCAGGATGCTCTCGTGATATAAAACCAAGTGGCTGCTCCATCAGGATTTCCTTGTCAAGTTCTCCATATAAAAAAGCATTCTTCACGTCTAATTGCCATAACTTCCAACCAAAAAACTTGCAGCCAAAGATAAGAGAGAACGTACCGTAGTCATCTTGGCTACAGGGCTGAAGGTCTCATCATAGTCTTCTCCATACTTTTGAGAGAATCCCCGAGCAACCAACCTTGCTTTGAATCTATCAACGCTTCCATCTGTTTTGCGCTTGATCCGGTACACCCATTTACAAGAAACAGGTTGGGCATTCTTGGGTTTTGGAACCAAATCCCAAGTTTCGTTCTTCATGAGAGCATTCATCTCCTCCTTCATTGCGTTTTCCCACTCGTCAACACCTTTTGCTTCATCATAAGATGTTGGCTCATCTTCATCTAATGGAGCTGCAAAGTAGCACGAGAAGGTAGTAACAAACTTTGGATCTCTGAACCGAGCAGGTTTAATGATGTCCCTTTTAGGCCTTTGACTAGCCGTGGAACCATGATGTTCCTCCTCATCCTCCTCTTGATCAGTGCTCCCCCTTTCACCTTGCATCTCTTCTTCAGGACCTTTTTCCTTACTCAGAGCTGGTTTATCACTCTTGGAGGAACTCCCACCTTCTTGCTCAACTAAAACTTGAGGTGGCCCATAGAATGAGGAAACTTCATCAAAAACAACATCTCGAGACACTATGTACCTGTGTGTCTCTGGATCCATACACCTCCACCCTTTTCTTTGTTCGTCATAGCCAACGAAGATGCACTTCTTCGCCTTTGCCTCCAACTTGGTTCTTTGAGAATCAAACACATGGACGTAGCAGACTGATCCAAATATCCTGAGATGTTTCACTGACGGCTTCTTCCCATGAATCATCTCATACGGAGACTTCATGTTATTTGGGCTGAGTGGCATCCGATTTATGACGTACACTGCGCATCTCATGCCTTCTGCCCACAAGGCTTTAGGCAGATCCTTCCCATATAGCCAGCTTCTGCACGTCTCAGTTAGATGTCGAATCTTCCTTTCCGCTACTCCATTTTGTTGAGGTGTATATGGACAAGTAAACTCTCTCTTTATTCCATGCTTTTGACAAAAAGAGAGAAACTCCTTGGACATGAACTCCCCTCCATTATCTGTCCTTAAGGTCTTGATTCTCCGACCCAGCTCCCCTTCCACGGTAACCTTGAATTCTTGAAATTTGGAGAATACTTCTGATTTTTCCTTCACAAAGTATACCCAAGTGTGCCGTGAGAAGTCATCAATGAACAGCAACATGTACCGAAACCCGGAATATGAGGGTGTTCTTGTAGGACCCATCAAATCACTATGGATCCTCTCCAACAGAGCACTGCACCGTGAAGTAGAATTGTCAAATAGAAGTCTATGTGATTTTCCATATTGACAACCTTCACAAAGCTTTCCTTCATCTTGGATCTTCAGCTTCGGAAGCCCATTTACCAACTCCTTATTCACCATAACCTTTAGCTTAGTCATGTTTATATGACCAAGCCGAGCATGCCATATAGAGGCATTGTCGTTTGTACTCATCTTCTCCACGTATGAGTTGGACGCAGATAAGACATATAGATCCTTAACCCGCGATCCGGTGTGAACCACATCCGCCTTTAACTCTTTAATATTCTTCAAGAATTTGACGTCTCTTGGGCCAAATAAAACGTAGTTACCTGAGTCTACTGCATTCACCACAGAGAGAAGATTCTTCCTTACTCCAGGGACATGGTATACATTCTTGAGGGTGATAGGGCTTCCATCTTCTCCTTCAATGACAACAGTCCCTTCCTTCTTGACCCGGTGAACTGAATTATCCGCGGTAATTATGGCTTCTTTTCCATCATGGCGCTGAAGACTAGAAAATAGCTTCTCGTCTCCGGTAATATGGTGGCTACAACCCGAATCCACAATCCAATCATTTTCAAGATTTTTAGTTGTGGATATACCTGAAGATGCAGCCTCCACCGTGAAGCATTTCCCCCATTCTTCGTCTTCAATATGACCTTTTGATTATGCCATATTTGTCTCCTTCAGCTTGACTCGACAATCCTTTTTGAAGTGCCCAAACTTTCCACACTGGTAGCACTTGAATCGCTTCTTATCTCCAGTAGAAGATCCTTCCGGTCCATCGATGTTCTTTGCACCATCGTATTTGGATTTGGCTTTGAAGTTGTGTTGCTTCCGAGCTACAAAGGCGCTCCCCGAGTCATCATGGATTTTGACTCCTGCCATTTGCGTAGCTAATGACTCTTGCGAAGCTAGCAGGTTCTCGAACTCCTCCAAGGAAGGTTGTGTAGCCCATCCTTGAACCGAAGTCACAAACGGTGTATACTCAGGTCGTAGACCTCGAATAATATACCATTTTAAACGTGCTTCGGAAATTGACTCCTCCGGATTTAGAGTATTAATCTCTGAGCGAAGATTCTTTACCTTGATGAAAAACTCTGAGATTGAAGACTCACCCTGCTTTGCATTCGCCAACTCGTTCTCTAACAGTTGTAGCCGAGCTTCTTTCTTCTTGTTGAACAACTGATCTAACGCCTGCCAAATGGAACTAGCGGATGTGCAACTTGAGACATGCTCAAAGACTCCCGAGGATATTGACCTCTTCAATGCAAACTCCGCCTTGGCATTCTTCCGTGTCCACTCCTTTGTCGCTTCCGCTGTCGCAGCAGCTCCCCTTGGTGGTGTTGTGCTACTGCCGCCGACGACATCCCATAAGTCCTCACTCACCAAGTATGACTCCATGCATGACTTCCATAACCGGTAATTGGATTGGTTTAGAATCTCCATTCCCAACCCAACAACGCGACCCATTGACTCCATACTTAGAGTAAATCTGAGATCTCAATTAATCCGATCTTGAAAAAGAACCAGATCAGAATGGCTCTGATACCATGTAAAGAAAACACCGATAGTGCCAAGCACTAGCCCAAGATCGTAATACCCGAGAGATCCGAAAGAAACAAAGACCCTCTAAGTATGAATAATAAGATGAAAGAATACTTAGAGAAAACTTGAAGGAACTTTAGAGAGAATAAGAGAACTTATGAAGAACACTCTTTCTTTATTTGTTCAACTTCTCTTGTTTACAAATGATGGAGTAGTGGGCTATTTATAGGCTCCACTTATTACAAAATATCTTACAAACATTCTCCTAATCTCTAGAATTTTCTACAATAATATCTAGAATTTTAACTACAACATCTAGAATTATCTATAGAATTATCTAGATATTTAACTAATAGAATTCTCTAGAACATTTAAGAAAGATGATGATTTTTAGTGATGTTTCTAGAGATTCTAGAACTTGAGCTTAATTTTGGGCCTAATCTAATAACTAATAATTATTTTATAAACCCAAAATTAAGCTTAACCCAAAATCAAGTTTAACTTCAATATAGAAAGCCTGAGAAAATCTGTTTAACTTTATATTTGTATTGAATGTATATTTTCTTCATAATTGGCTCAAAATCTTGTTCTTTTTTTTTTTATCTTTGACCAAAAAAAAACATTTCACACAGAATCTAATATGTGTAGATACTATCCGAAGAAAAGACCAAAGCTTTCCAAATCAAAATTGGTTAGTAGTTATTACTAACTTTACTCTTATTTTAGTCAACTAGTTATAGTAGTTACAACTATCTATCTTCTTAAAGCAAAACTAAACAAAAATCCGAAACGTGTACCATACGATGACCATGACTAGGACCATAAAACTCTAGAATATAGCAGGGTGGAAGAAAAAGACTTCATAGCCGACCTCTTCCTTTTGCTCACCACTTGCACACGTGTACCAAGTCAAACCAAACGTGCCCAAATTAGTTTCCTCTCTTAACCAAGAAATTAGATACTTTCCCTCACAACTTTGGTCCGCATATTTAAATGCACACTAAAAAGTAAGTAATAAAAGCAAAAAAAAGACGGTAAATATCTAATCGCCACCTTCACTCTTCACACTTTCCCACCACTTGTCACGCAACTTCCTCTCCACACTCCACCTTACTATATATTAATTCACGCTTTCGTTTCTTCTTCTTCAACAACAACAATTCTTCTCCATTTTTTCAATTCATCGCAAAATTCTCCTTTCTACAAAGAGATCTTCTTAAACTAACTAATGGCACTCGAGGCTCTCACTTCACCGAGATTAGCTTCTCCGATTCCTCCTCTGTTCGAGGATTCTTCGACCTTCCATGGCGTCGAACACTGGACCAAAGGTAAACGATCCAAGAGATCCAGATCCGATTTCCACCAACAGAACCTCAGCGAAGAAGAGTATCTCGCTTTCTGCCTCATGCTTCTAGCTCGCGACGGAGATCGTAACCGTAACCGTCTGCCTCTTCCTCTTCCGGTGGCTGAGAAGTCGTCGATCTACAAGTGCAGCGTCTGCGACAAGTCGTTCTCGTCCTACCAAGCTCTGGGCGGCCACAAGGCGAGCCACCGGAAAAACTTATCACAGACTCATTCCGGCGGAGGAGATGATCAGTCGACGTCGTCGGCGACAACCACATCTGTCGTGGTTAACGGAAGTGGGAAATCACACGTTTGCTCGATCTGTAACAAGTCGTTTCCCTCCGGTCAAGCTCTCGGCGGACACAAGCGGTGCCACTACGAAGGGAATAACAGCAGTAGCGTGTCTAATTCCGAAGGAGCGGGGTCCACTAGCCACGTCAGCAGCAGCCACCGTGGATTTGACCTTAACATCCCTCCCATCCCGGAATTCTCGTCGGTAAACGGAGACGACGAGGTCATGAGCCCGATGCCGGCGAAGAAGCCCCGATTTGACTTCTCCCAGAATCTTCAAAATTGAAGAATACTAAAGTAGACGAATACCAGATTTTCATTTGCTCTGTTGAATTTTCTATAGGAATTTGTTGATTGTACATACAAATTTCGACTTTGATTATTTCCCAATTCTTGTTCTTTATTTGTTGTCAGACTCATTCTTTATCACATATTTCAATAGATACATGTTAAAAACATTGATTTTTTTTAACCCTCTTTATTTGTTGGTTCTGATTTTCAATTTCATAATAAACAAACTTCCCAAGTCCTAAGCATTATTTTGTCCAAAGTTCCATATATTTCTTGTCAGTCTTCTGTTTAAAAGTCACATTTTTTATTTGCTTATAACTTCCAAAATGTGAGAAGGGACCATATGTGGTTGGTAGGCTGGTAGTAGAACCTAGAAGGAAGAATCAAAGACATATGGACCTGGATATGCGTAGGAGTTTGGTGGCCAACTTTTGCTCTATCTTTAAATTAATGCAAGAGCCACCAAATAACCACCAATAGGTAAAGTAGCAATTCGAAGCAAGCAATAACCAAACAAGAAGAGTACCAATTAGCATAACTATAAACCCCATCTTGAGATGCGAGAGCAACGATCATCTTCAACTATGTTTCTGATCTATGCTTCAATAATATGAAATAACTAAAATCAAGAGGATAATATACGAGTTGCTATGCAGTGAAGTCTGTCGTTTCCCAAACCTCAGACAACACAGTTCGTTAAAGACATTAAAAAATAAACAAAGCAAATAATCCAGCAATTAGCTTTTTCCGAGTGAGAACAACACGCATCATTCATAACACGAAGGTGCTCACCAGGTTGAAAAGGAGTGAAGCTGCATGCGGAAGAATAAGCAATTACGTCACTCTAGAAGACTCTGAACCTGTTACAGCACACACACCATTCGATCGCGTTCTCTTTTTCGGTGGACTACTTCCACTACTTCGCCTAGTAGTTCGAGGTGCAGATGAAATTTCAGTTCCAGAATCCGGAGTCTCCCTAACCAAATGTTGAAGTTGCTCTCTTACTCTCCAAGCTTTTTTGTAATTGATCTCTAAACCATGTTCTTTTCTGATTTGCTCAATAATCTGTTTCGGTTTGAGTCCATCGTCTTTTTCTCCATACTTGTTGCAGATCAAAGTTCCGAGCAATTTCGCACTCGCTTGCCTATGATTGGCACCTCTGTGTGTTGTATCACAAGTATGTTCATGAACATAATGCTTCACCACAAAGGAGTCAGACGAATCAAGCTTAGTCGCACGCATCCTCCAGCTGCATTTATCACCCACGCACCCTAATATCACTCTTGATCTGTCTGACCAAAGAGACTTGAACTCGAACTTCCACTCTAATGCCCATTTTCTCATCTTGAGCATCAATTCTTGCTTGTTTTTAAAACATTTGTTCACATGTAAATCATTGGCCACTCGGGTAGAATGTGAAACCGGACAAACATCTGGAGCAGGATGCAAAAGAGATGGATGGTTTCCTCTTTCAGAAGTAGAACATGTGTCGTTATCAGTTAGTTGATGAATTTCCTACAAAAAATAAATAAATACAAGCGGATAAATAAAACTTAAAAACAAATGAAAGAAAATTTTGATATTGAAATAGTAGAAGTTACAAATGATTTAGAAAGGTGTTCCTAAAAGGCTAAAATTTAAGGAAACACTTAATGAAATCGTCGAGGAACAAAGACTGTAAATTATGCAAGTAGTATAAGAAAACGTATAAAGACTATGTTACCTGCTGTTTGTCATGCATATTAGATTCATTTACACATGAATCACCTTCTAAATTTTGCAATGTTTGTGTGCGTCGAGTTTTATTTACCACATCATAATTCCCTTCGTTATGTATGGTATTTGCCTGAATGTTGTTGCCAACATTCTCACCAACATCCTCAATAAAATTGCATTTGTTACTCACCTACACAAAATGAAACAGAAATGTTAAGTTAATTACATAGAAAATTGAAGAAAATGTACACTTAACTATGTAATAGGCATTTAGTTGTATATGTCACTCACCGTTACACATAAACGAATCAGTTCATGATCTTCTTTTATCTTGTTGATAAAAGCTCTGACTTGGCGATCGTTTCGCATATTCATCGGTGGAAAATCCCCAAGGATCGATTTCGTTCTCATTGGAAGTTCAAAGCTAAGTGTAATATCTCTTGAACGATCAAACCCAAAGTCTTCGATAACCATCTCAACTAAGTCTTTGTATGTGATGTTCTCATCTACTTCACAAAGTGATCCTCCTTTATTCGCATCTACTAAAAATTTCCATTGCGATTTGTCATCTAAATTCCATTTTCCACAAACAGAATAGATCTCCACCATATTTCCCTGAAGTGAAAAAAAAAAACAAAAACCAAGCAAAGAACAATCAAACCACTGTGGATTACATTTGTTTCCTCTGTGTTAGTGTTTTTAGGATAAGATTACAGACTTTAGATTGAATGCTGAATGATCAAAATGTACATTACAAATCTAAACCAAGAATCTCAAACCAAAGAGCATAAAACTCTATTGCCCATAATCCAAAATGTTGAAGAACAATGAAGATTAAATTGATTTATACAAAACAACAAATTGATGATTCATTGAAGCATATGAACAAGACTTAAACAATACTAGTCTTACAATCACCATAATAGTGTAACACCCACAACATACTTATTGAAAAACTGTATCCAAAAGTAAAATTTATTCTTCTAAACCAAAGACATAGATGAAAGAAGAAGATGCCTACGATAATGATCAGAGATGGTGGCGGAGATTACGAAAGCGTATCTGACCGAAGAAGACGAATATCGCTTATGCTCGGAGCGGCTGTTACAATGATCGACCTACTGAAGATGATGAAATCGACGATTATATCAATGATCCACTGGTTGATTTACTTTCACGATGACCAAATGAAGAAAACTAAACAGGAAATCGATTTCGCCATTCGATTTATCTAGAGCTGAGAGATGAAAAGAAAAGAAATCATGGAAATTGAGTGTTTTCTTCTGTTTTTGGGGAGATATTTCTGCGATTTTGAGAAACAACAAAATTCATACGAACGCCGCGCAGTGTTAAACTAAAATCCAAAACGACATGATGTTTCTCATCAGCATCCCCCTCTATATAAATGACTTCCTCAATTTGGAAAATGATTCTCATTTCCTTGTAACTCATCTTCGCTTGTGCTGCTCTTTGCTGTTGGCACCGCGTCCGCGAGTTTCCTCAATGAATCCTTCCATCTTCAAGCTCCTCGAAGAAGACGAGGTTAGGTTTTCGAATCTCTCCACTCTCGTTTTCAGTTCCGTACACTTGATTTTGATTCTCCAGCTAATTGTGTCGTCAGGATGAATCTATGCATTCGAGTGATGACGTCGACGCGTTCCAGGTCTCTCTGAGTCGAGAAATCGAAGGTTCGTCTGAAACCTAAATTAGTGTGATACACTGCGGAAAGTATGAAAAGGGAAAATGTGTGTGTTTGATGCTTTACGAGGAACACCATATCAAACTCCTTAGATTACTTGAACGATTTAGATGCATGAGTGTCATAAAGTTACCATTAGTTTGTTATTTAGGGTAGATATAACGTTGATGATGCCTTTTTGATGGTTAGTCACTTGAATATAAAATTTAGAACATAATCAACGTTGAATTTAGTGCTTGATTACATTCCCTTTTCAGCAATACCATTAGTGTAGCTTATGGAGTATTATGCTTTTGTTTTTTCTCTCTGTACCTCTCGGTTTAGAGATGGCCACTTTTCAACTTTCTTATATGGAAACAGTTAAGTTGTGATCTGTGAAAGCTGTTGAACATGGAGTTTTCAGCATTATCTGAGACAGCACAATGCTACTTCATATCCTCTGTTGTTTGTCTTGGACTGATGTTCGCCTTCTGTTTACTTGGGGTGTTGATTTACTGTAATTATAACAAACATTCTTTTGTTTCTGAAGGAGAAGGCAGTTCTTCGAGTCAGCAGTTTGCAACACAGAATAATGGTATTGGAGATGTTAATACCAACCTCCATAACCTTGAAAGAACTCAGATGAAAGAGAAACAAGAGTCTGTGTTAGGCAATCAAAACCAGGAGTTAAAGCTAGAAAATGAATCTCATCCACAGCACAACCCGCCTCAGGAGCATCGTCAACAAGATCAACTCTGGGAGAATCCTTCCCATGTTCCCCAAGCAAGAAACTTGCAGTCTAGAAACAACCCTATTAGTGATGAACCAGAGAGACCGCAACTTCAATATCTGAAACTGCAGAAGACGAGTGGCCAACGGGACCATCGGGTGAATCTTGGTCCTACGGAAGTACAAGTTTGTGAGTTTCTTCGTATCTTGATGCCCCAAGTTAACGAAGATAGAAAGAAGCGGCTTATGTCGCTGTTTTATCAATTCAAGGTGTGTCTTTACATCCATGAAATGACTTGGCACTCTGATCGAAAACTCTCCCTACATTACTTATTTCCATGCTTGTTTGCAGAGAAAAGAAATGACAAAAGAAAGGTTCTTACGACTTGTGAGGGATGTTGTAGGTGATCAAATGGCCAGATCGGCAACTAGCACACTACATCCGTTCGAGCAGGTATTGTCATCACCCTTTCTCACTCTTTTGTGTCACGCAATACAGATTTGCCTTTCAAATTCATGTTGATATTGTCTCCATGATCTCATTGGTCATAATAGAACCTTGCAATTTTCTTATAAGTGCTTAATTATTTTCCTCTAGCTGCTTCTAAGCAGAGTTTAGTTTTTTCATATATAATTAGTTTACAAGCACATAGCATGGCTCATTTAGGATACCTTTTGAGCATATACTTCTATTGAAATATTTTTGTATACGTTTAGCTGTTATCATCCCTAAAAGTTGAGGCAAGGTTTTTGTTATGTGTATGCTGTCTCAGAGAGTTACTTCAAAATTTCAATTCATTCCTCGTCCAGGACGGGATCCTTTATCATGTAGATAACCGATTCACCTCAAATATTGATTTCAATGGATGTTTACTTAAACCTCTGTGCAGACTGTTTAGCTGAATAACATGCTGAGCCAGGAAAAACCCAGAAACTATAGCAGACCAAGATTCATTTGCTCACAAAGTTCTATATTAGAATATCTTACCAGACTTGCACATAGGCTGATTAGCCATGGATTTCCTGTTCCTAGCTAGAGTTTTCCCTTCATTACATCCACAACTTAACATATTCCAGGGAAATGTTAGAATGGTCTTAAACTAGACTTTCAGATTTTTCTCAGCTTTGTAGTTATCTTTGGCTGAATGTAACTACATATAGGATTTTTATTGTTTCATATGAACCCTATAAATAGGATTTTTATTGTTTCATATGAACAATATGTAACAGGGAAATAAGGGGATCAAAGTACCTGGACGACCAAACCATAACAGAGAGTCATTTACATCTGCTGGTATAAATTATTTAGCTGATGCCCTTTACTTTTGGGATTATCATATAACTTCTTAACTTTCAGGTAGATATTATCTCAATATTTCCATGTGGCATACAATACCAATCCCTGATACAATCTTTTAACTGCAGAAATCAGTGCAAACAAAACTGACCCTCCTGGAGTTCATGTGAACCGACTCCCTTCTACAAGTTCAGGCACCTTAAGCAGCTCAGCTTCTGTGCAGGGATCACACAATATTGAGATGCCAACTTCTGTAAATGGTTCATGTGGGGTTCAGGGTGGCCCTATATCCCACATCAAAAACAACTCATCTATGCCTCTAAATTCTGCTCCTTGTCAAGAATCAGTCACCAAAGACCAGCCAGTGGACCCTTCCTCATCATTGGTCCATGTGAAGCAGGAATCGATTGATCAAAGTTTCGACCAGGCACAGGAGCCTTGTTCTTTGGTTCAGCAAGGCATGTCTGATGCTCCAATGAAACAGAGCATTGGTAACCCAATGAGGTCAAATGATGACTTGGAAAAGCAGTCTTCTAAAATGTTTTCATCCACATCTACCACACATGCAAGCTTTGTTTCTCCTTTAATGACAAAACAGCTGGACTCTAGCACAATGGTAACTTATAAATTATACTCTCAGAAGACAAATTCAAATGCTATTTTGGTTTCGTTTTGCTTATATTTTGACCACCCTGGCTTATGTTTGTCCTTGTTTTTCTGGCTTTGATTGTGAAGAGTAAATAGACTATTTAACTGAAAAGTTGTTTTGTGCACTAATCAGGTTAAATTCCCTCCCCCGTCTGGGACCATTCCCACAAGTGCTAGTGTTAGGACGACACCCAAAATGCCTTGTCAGAAGAAACCTCTTGAGGCACAAGGTTCTTCGCTGCCACCATCGAGGTAAGAGAGGTGGCTGGTTTATAAAAATACGAACCACTTATATTTTTAGTTTTTGATAGCCTCCTTTTCATTCATTTTCAATTTAGAATTATTATTGAAGTCTTATAGCAAGTGTTAACTTACAGCAAGAAGCAAAAAGTGCGTGGGACTTGTAAAGATCGAAGTATTGAGAAGTTTAATGATGTCACTGCACTCAGTGGCATCAATCTTGTGGTATGTTTTCTTTTAGCTGCACTTCTCAATTCAAATCTGGATACAGAGAGACAAATAAACCAAATTTTGTTTGCCTGCATATGTACTAGGAAGAGGAGAATAAACTATTATCTTCTGAGCCTAAAAAGGACGGTCAGGTGTCTAAAGCATCTCGACGAGTTGTGCTTGAAGAGGAAGAAAGAACGATTTTGCAGAAAGTTCCACTGCAGAGAAAGCTGGCAGAAATTAGTTGGGTTTCAACCCATCTCTTAGCTGCTTCTTTGATCTTTACTTCGAATCACTTGGAGAAGAAGTTTATATATACTTTCGTATATGACAGTGGCAAAAAGTGGCGTAAAGCATATAAACGTTGATGTCGAGCGGTGCTTGTCTCTGGTGAGATGTCCTTACTTTCTGAGAATTATAAGCCTAAAATTTATTATTCTTGTTTTTGATTACCTCATCATGGCTTTGCGTATTCAGTGCGTGGAGGAAAGGATGCGTGGACTGTTGTCTAATATAATCCGAATATCAAAGCAGGTTAGTCTACTTTCTTCTCCTGCCTTCTTAAACCTTATTGTGTCAAAAAAAAATTGTGAAGTTTAAAATAATTTTTGCAGCGGACTGATGCTGAGAAGGGTAGAAATCGGACTTGTATCACATCTGACATTCGGAAACAAATTAACGAAATGAATCAGAAGGTGAAAGAGGAATGGGAAAGGAAACATGGTGGAGAAGAAAAGCTTACGGTTTGTCCTGAGCTCAATTTATATTCTCTTAGTTACTAATAAAGTAATAATGTCTTTGCTTTTGATTTTCCTCCATGTAGAATGAAAAAAATGATACTGCAAAAGAAGATGATTGTTCAGAACAAGTGAAGGTATTTAGAAACTGAGCCAGCTAAATGAACCTTTGGACATACGTACGCTGAAAGAGGTTCTAAACAATGTCAGGCAAACAAGAAGAAAGAAGACGAAAAGAGAGCTAACGCTGCAAATGTTGCTGCCCTTGCATCCATTGGAGGAGATAATCCCTTTTTAAAATGGAAACTTATGGCAGAAGCACGTCAGAAGTCTTCTTCAGGGGCAGAAAGAAACGTTAAGAAACCTTCTGATGAAACAGGTGAGCCCGAGTCTGTAATATGCATATGTAAATCTCAGTTCTGTTGCTGAGTTGTGTTTGTTTTGTGTTCCAAGTTGATCATTTAAGTTTCCTTTTTTTTTGTAGGTGATAGAAGATTTGGGAAGAGCAAAGGTTCACCGAAAGTGGTCCGGTCAATCTCTGTGAAGGATGTGATTGCTGTGGTGGAAAGTGAGCCTCAGATGTCTAGATCGACGCTATTGTATCGCTTATACAATAGAATCTCTGATGTTCCAACACAAGAGAAGACATAGACAGAGTTCACATAAACTTTTTAAGACCAAATCTTCAGATAATAGAAAGCGTACTCTTTTTTTCCTTCTTATTCCATTAAAAGTGATGTCATTACAAACTCCTAACCATGATCAAGATGCTAAAGTACATCCTTATTTTTTTCTTCCTTCTACTACGACCTAAAGAAAGTTGCAATTGACTTTTCTAGTTTTTGCCTGATTCCTTCATGTTGGCACGGCCGTGTCCATATCCCCCTCCTCCACCGCATGAACCGCCACACCCACCGCCGCCACCCCCAATGATGACTCCACCGCCAATACCACCTGACCCGTATCCAGGACCGCCTCCTCCGTTGCCTCCATCCCAACCCAAACCACCACCGGAACCATACCCACCACCACCACCAAATCCACCACCGATCACAACACCACCACTACCACCACCTGGTCCGTATCCACCACCACCACCACCATATCCTGGGCCTCCACCGCCATAGCCGCCAGCTGTGAGTTCACCCTTAAACCCAGTTACGTGTCGGTTACTCTTTCCTATCTCAGTGGATGCAGCTTCATTCTTCATGAACGAACCTTCTCTTGCAGCCTCGACGATCACATGGCCGATGAGGCATAAATACAAGGAAACAAGAAACCAAAACATCACTCTACTACCCATGATACACAGTTTTTTCCGTTAAAACCTGAGAAAGTAAGTAGAAGGAAGGACTTGTGCTTGAATATAGAGCCACAACACACATCACTATATATATGCACATAATACAAAAGGTGATGGTATGGACGTCCCAGTATAGAGAACAAGGTGTGAATATGGTGGCTCACCAAAATGGGTTTCAGGTGATGGGTCTGATTCGCATGAATTTTTTACACATCTTTTATATGTTTTGTTGCAATTTTTTCCACAATTCATTCGTTTTGCTGTCTCTCATCCATCTAAAAAAGAAAATACACGTATTTGATCATGGAATTAAGATTTATTTCTTGTAGATATAAGCTGTACGTATGGTAGGGGGCACACTGCACGCACACACATGTGCTCGTTAATGGTACTAACCTGGAACCTTCCGAATGTTTTAGCGTGTTACAATTAAATGATATATTTTTGATCAAGGACACTTTTTTTTTTGTTAAAGGATTAAGGACACTTCCTTTTACAATGGAGTAATAGTGGTGGTGCTAATATGAGAAAATTGGGGGTTTATGAATATGATTAGAACAAAATGTATTTATATGAGTATGTACTGACATTAATGTATCTTATTCAAACACACAAACAAAAATAAAGAATGTAAAGACGAGTTGTAAGAATAATTTTATTTTAGGTTCTCGTCCCATTTAGAGCGGTACGTTAATTGTTTTTTTTTGTTTCAAACAAACCAAACGCACTATATTTTTTTCGCACGTGCCTGTAACGATTGGCCGTAATTTGGCTATCGATTAACGCTTCTCTCTGAAATCTAACGATCTCCATCGCCATTTCCCCCATTTTCATCTCTCTGTTACTTTCTGGGTTTCTGATCTTCGAAGATTATCCGAAGGTTTTTGTTTGTTAGGAAATTAGGCTTTTTTTCCCTCAAGAAGAGATGACGACGAGTTTGGATCGGTGGGAGAAGGATCCTTTCTTTGCCGCTGCTGAAGAGGTTCAGGAATCTGCTGACAGGTTTTCGAAATCCTCTTCCACTTTTCCTCATTCTATAGTGATGACTCTCGCAAAAAAAATTGTTATGGATCTGTGAAAATTTCAACTGTCATTATTGTTGATGTAATGTCGATTTGTCTGTTGTTTCGGATTCGGGAATTAATTAGGACTCTGATAATCAAATTCCAGATCTGGAATCCGCCACAATGTTGTGAGTTTGAATATATATATATATATATATTGGATTGATGTGCAGGATGGAGTCAGCTTACAGGACATGGATCCATGGGAAACAAGGCTCTTCAAATGTATGGGACTCTGAGCAGCTTCACAGGGACCTTCACGCCGCACTCGGAACCACCAAATGGCAGGTTTCTTTCTTTCTTTCCTTCTCTTTCTGCTCATACTCTGCTCGAATTGTTTGTTGTGCTGTGACGTTGATTTGATTTCTCCAAGTGAATCTGTATCTGTTTTTTTTTTTTTGCTCTAGTTAGATGAATTCCAGCGAGCTGTTCAATCCAGCTATGACAATCGTCTGAGTGATGAAACTCGAGATAGACACCGGGAGTTTACTTTCGCAATGGAGTCTCAGGTCTCGAAAATCGAGAAATCTCTCAAGGAAGCTGCGCAATCTGATGGCAAGGGAACTCCGAGATGGGTGCGTTTGGACGAAGATGATCGTAATGAGCTTGCCCTCTTCTTGACTGGACCATCTGAATCGGAAAAGAAGCAGCTTTTGGTCAATGGTGTCAAAGTGAATCAGCAAGTAAAGCCGCATGGACATAGAAGGACGGCAAGTGCTACTCCTGATATCGGTGCTTGGAACATTCCGGTTTCCGATGACGGTTTCTTGCAGAAGTCTTCCGATGAACCACCGGTTCGACCTCCACGAAAAGTACCTAGCGTCTCTGGGTTCCTAAACTATATGGAACCTGGTTCCCAAAACTGCATTAGAAAGTGGAAGGCTTTAGATCGTCAAGGAGACTCTGACGCTGCGTTGTTGTTACCTATCCAAGCGAACCAAGTAAGATCTCCCAAACGCAAGATTTGTAATTTTCCCTCCTGATTACAAATCTTTGACTAAAAAGGCTTCTCTGTTTTCTCAGCAAGTCATGAGTGGATGTTTTGAGAGGGACAAAAGTTGTATGGAGTGTGAGGAGGACTGTTACGATAAGCAGCTCCACGGTTGGTATGGAGCTTTACAGAGGCAACTTCAACGGTCTCAGTATCGGATGCGATATAGTAAATCCATTCAAGCAGCAATTTGGATTCTTCTTTTACTTTTTCTTATAGGTAATAATATATTTTACTAAATCGAATTTTCGCTTCTCTCTACAACCAAAGATCACATACATACTTAGAAAGAAAAGCTTGCTGCCATACATTTTGAGTTCTGAGACGGCCTGTTTTGTCATTGCAGTGGTAGTCGCAATGCATTCAATGTAGAAGACGTTCATTCATCCTTCTGTGTAACGGGTTGTTCAACTGCGAAGGAGACGGACTCGGCAATCTACACTTTTACTGTACAGTAATTCCACTGTTCTTGGTTGTTTTGTAACGTAGAAAATGCATTTTTGGTTCGATTATTTGCAACGGTTTCTTTGAGAAGAAAGGATCTTGACTTCCCTTAGTTGCAACCAATTCAAGTTTAGCATTGGTGAAAATGAAGGCTTGGGATGTTTTGTAATACGAAGATGCATTTTTGATCCGATTATTTGAATGTGAAATTTTCATTGAGAAGTGAAGAAAAGATGTTTTTTTTCCTTTTACAATCGATCCGAGCTCAGTGATTTGGGACCTAAAATCCGAGTATTGTGAAGCACACGACGAGACTGCTTTAAGTGTTTTTGGACATGTTTTGGATCTTATCCTCGCGTTTATCCGTCTTCTCTAACTCGATGCCTTGAAAGGTAAGCCTAGATGATCGGTAGTGACTCCCGAAGGCAGTCCCGAAACCCCAACCGAGGCCCAAGCCCACCCCGCAACCGCCACCTTCAAAGACGATATGGATATGAGTTTTGTAACTAGAGAGACTTGAATGAAAGATTTAGCATTAAGACGCAGAAACGCCAGATGTTTCAATGCTTACCTACACCGACGCCTAGTACATTCATAGGCATTCCTGCAAGAAAGCAACAAAGAATCTCTAGTTCAGTACGCACTGATCCATGTTAACATATATGTTTGTGTTGCAAATAGTATGGATCCATCAGATGTAAGCTTAACTGACTCTAGACACACAAGGACAAGCATATACAGATACATGTACACCATTAGCAAGTAAAGATGATGAAAGAAGAAGCACTTTGTATAATCTGAGTGGTGATATCCAGGAGTAGATGATCTCACAGAATCACAAAACTAAACAAACAGAGCAGAGTGAATTGTAATGTACAGTGATAACGAAGAGTGTAAGTTCTGCGGCATCATATCGAAACAAATAGTCAAGAGTATTGTACCAGTGGAAATGATTCTATCTGTGAAAGATATAGGTTTGATTTGATCACCTTATGAATAGCTTTCCCAAATGTTAACAAATATTTGTAAGAAGTGATAGAATAGTCATTGATCTCATGATCATTCCTCCATCTCTAACCCATTAGGAATATCAAATCTATCATCGAATTAACTTCTAATCCCGTCTCAGCTCAGTAAACTTAAAAGTACGTTGAAGGAGAAGTTGTGAACGAACCTCCAAAACCCCAGCCAACGCCAAATCCACAGCCAACACCGAACCCTATAAATTCCAGATTGGTAAAGAAGAATTACGAGCCGAATCAAAAAGAAAAAGGGGAAAAGAGAAAGGAGAAACAATTGCGAATGGGCAATACCGAATCCAACACCGACTCCAGTGAAGTCAGAGAGCACCATAATCTTCACAAGAGTAAAAAATAACAAAACTAAATTCGATTAGGAATCGATAGATAGAAGCAAAGAGTTTAGAAATGATGAATCTGAATTGTGAACTGATACCTTGTTTGTTGGTGAATCGCTCTCTCCACGAATCTGAAAACAACAAAAGAAGGTGAAGAACAAGTAGCTTCGCGATGTACCGGTTAATCTGCGAACCCCTCCTCCGATCCGGATTTATTTGATGAACCGGTTATTAAGAAATTTAGAGAAAAAAAAAAGGGTCAACTAACTAATGAACCGCCCTATCAAACCGAAACTTATGTATATGATTTTGGATGGTTAGCGGACCGGAAAATTTGCTTTGAACCACGCATCAGACCAGATTCTGTTCACAGATGATACCTGACATTTTCATTTTGTACAACACATAGCTGCTTCTATCATAATATTTCAAACCATATTATAAACTAAAATTGGACTGACTTACTAGATTTAATAATGAAAAATAGCCCTCGAATAGAGACTATACATATTCCTCTAACATTATGCAGCAAAGAGAAACGAAAATCTCCTGCGCTCTATTTACATCTTCAACGAAACTTCCTACAAGAATTCTAGCCTTCAACAATAGCAATACTAGAAGAAACTTTTTTGAATGAGTTTATACACATTAATCTCCTGCGTCCCATGCTTCTTCACAGGAAACTTGTTCCGACGCATCAGCCATTTTTCTGGCGTGTCGCTACTGAGCCCTGCATTGTCTTAATTTTGGGGCCTTGAGATAAGTCTTCAACGTGGGAATCGAATCTGAGCTCAGAAGGTGGAATGAAGCAATCCATAGACAAACCAGGGACATTGAACGCAATCTCATCGATGACCCATGCTTCTTGCATTGTGGTCTTCGTGTTATGTCCCGATGACATATCTCCAAACCTTAAAAGTGTAGCCACGGATCTACCAGAGTGAGCTATCACAATACCTTCAACGGGTTTGTAGTCTTCTAAGTATGAATTGATGGTCGTCTCCCAGTAAACCGCTTCGCCTCCGATGTTTTGGATTCGGGTTAACTGCGAGTCTTCTAAGTGAACAAGAAGACCGGTTTTTTGGCTGAAGTAACCGAACAAGGTATGTCTTATGGTCTCTGATGCCCCTTCGCTTCTAGCTTTGAGTGTTGCAGGGTCTGCACATAGCTTGAGAATGAAACAGTCTTCTCCATCGATCTTTTTTTCTCCTATGCACCTCGCATTTGCAAACATATTCGCTGTGGTTCTTGGGTCAAGTCCCTGAAAGTAAAATAACAGTAACAATTTTAACCATGCCAAGCAATGCGAAATGGATGAGAAGGCTTCCTTAGGACCAGAGAGATCATACCTGAAGAGCACGTCGTAATGGTCTAACCGGGCCTTTTGCAGCATGAGGCCCAAGCCATGGTGTGTGCCTCCACACAAGCTTCCCGTCGCAACCCGCAAGGACCTTGCTCCCACCAAGAACAAGCTCCATGTACCACATGTCAGGGTTCATATGCCACAACACAAATCCTCCAGACTCAACAGCTTTCGACGAATTATTCTTGCTTCTTGAGCCCTTTGAGCCTGTCTCAAACTCAGAGGCCACCGTCCTGATTCTTCCCATGACATATCCATTTTGCACAGAACTATGCAGCTTTTGTCCACCTGATGCAGCCGTATACTGCTGAAGGATGTACTGCGCGGAGGAGGTTTCCTGAAATTTCAAGTATTTGGTAAGAGTTATTAGACTTGACTCTGAACACAGTGAGACAACACTTCATTATGCATCACAGATTAGATATTTTCTCCTAGAGTGGAAAATCCACGTTCATAACCTCGTTTCAGTATTCAAGTCTAAAGTGAAATCTACATGTTATTGATGGTTTTAGCAACAAATACACATGATTTACAGAATGGCAGAAAGCAGAAGAGTAAAAATTTGAGGAAGAAAGAACACTAAAGAAGCTAATTCTACAAAGAGAGTTCATGTGATTCTAGTGTTAGGATAAACAGAAGGCAAACGCACTGAACAAAATTAGTAATGTACAGACAAAATAAGGTATGCTCGTATGGTTGAATAATCAGAGATAAAACGAAACAAATCTCAATAAATTTCACAGTCCTTATTATAAGGCTGCAACAAAAATAAGAGATTTAGCAAAATTCAACTAAAATTATGGCTCAGAAGAGCATAAATCCTCAGAATAAAACTTCAAATTAGAGTAAATTTGTCTTGTACATAGTAATCCCATGCCGCAGTGGCCTAATTTGAAGAAGATCGAAATTGAGTTCATAAGAGTGAGGAAAAACAAGGGAAATTTCAGCTCACCATGGGAGTGTTCTTGATGCTGAGGTGTGGAAGGAGATCCAGAGCACTAACGTGGACAGGACCTAGTGGTGCGCCAAGGACACCGAGAAGGAGCCTCAGATCCGTCCGTTTGAAGTCGGAAGAGGAAGATACCGAAGGCGGAGCAACCGGAAGCTGACATTTCATCCAATTGTACCACCGTCTCTCGAACCTCGAGTAATCTCCACTGCTTCCGGAGTCATCCCCGTCTGGATCAGGACCTTCTATAACCGGAGGAAGCATCTCAGACATGTGCCGGTCCGGTTGGGAGACGTAACGACCTTTCCGGCGACGGATGATGATCGGAGAGACGCCTCTCACTGGGCTCTTGGATCGCGATCGCCGGGAATGTGACTTGGAGAACAAACCGTGCTTCTTATCCATACTCGGAAGAAGGAAGTGTTAGTGGGAGACGGAGACGGAGAGAGAGAGAGAGGTTTGGTGCTAAAGCTTGACAAAAGAAAGGAGAAATGTTGCGTTGAAGGGAAGGTTGCATATAAATGTCGAATTTAATTCGCTAACCATTTCTTTTGAATTTTTTATTAGCAAATTTCCGAATTCTTCTTACTTTTTGCTTATTTTTGGCTTATGCATTTAAGTTACAAATCGCGGAAATTATGAATCACTGCTTTGCATTAAAACTATAAAAGACCAAAAGTTCCATTATTACATGATGTTGAAGCAGGCAAATGGGAACTCGGGATAAGGTTTTGTTTTTCCTATTTTTGGAGTATATTTTTTTGAACATTATTTCTATTTTATTGGCTTTTGAAATTGTTTTACATGATCCATTTATCATAAACCAATTTTTTTTTTTTTTTGATATCTTTGTCTTCTTTCTCTCATGTCTAACTCGGTGCATGTTGTATAAGAAGAAAAGTGAGAAAGGGAGAATTTGTTTTACTAATCCTGATATTGAGGAAATAAACTACTTCAAAAGTACTCCATAAAACGAGTAAAATTTAGTCTTTTATTAATGTTAGTCTTTCACTTTGATTTTTCCTCCAAAAACGAAGTATATAAAAATTGATAATGTATCATCATAAATATTATACTTTAGTTAAAAGCAGCATATATTAGTGAGCAATTAGCCTTAAAGAACACGAAAGGCATGCCCTTAGAGATGGAAATTAAAGTTAGAACAAGCAATTGAGTGCGATGATGCTAAAAGCAATATATTAGCAAGTATGTATGTGTGCATGAGCATGAGCCACCAAAAGTCAACATAACACAAATTATAAAAAGAAACTTTCTTTTCTGAAGCTTTTAATTTGTTAGAGGGTGTGTTGATTTATGGGACCAAATTAGAAAACTCGGTGTTTGTTTTGTTGCTCATTATCATCTGTAACCTCACAATAGCCATTTTCGATGGTACTCCTAGACTCTCAAGTGCTCTTTTGTGTGTTCAATAAAAATGATTATCCTATTTCTAAGAAAGCACCAAAACTCTAAAACATCTTAAAACATAATTTTAATTAATTGATAAAAAATTAGAATACAAAAATAGAAATAAAACATGCTTGTTCTAAATTTACGTTACATCGATACTATTAACTCGTTATAATTTTTATAATAGAAAACCACTTTTAGAACTAGTGTTCCTCAGGTTTTTAACACACATCCCAAAATTCGAATCATAAAGTAGAAAACCTCTCATTCATGCATATCAACACACATCCAAATTAGAATCCCTCATCATTGTTCTTCGTTTTATGTTTTTCCTTCCAAAAGCAATCGCAGAAGTAGTGTTCCTCAGGTTTTTAATTGGGTGTCACTTGTTAGAAAATTCCAACAGTTGTATTATGAGATTCTTTTTGAGTTAAAGAGAAAGATCACCAAGTTTTGACTATGCTTTTTCTGATTATAAATTTTAATTATCGTTTGCTATTTACAATATTGTTGTATTTGTTAATTCATTTTTGAACTATATTTTGTAAATTATTTAGTTTGTCTCCTCTGTACACTTGTGGATTCTACATAACATTATAGTGAAGAAGAAGCCTATACCAATGACCCACTTGAGGGGGCGATCATTACAGCTTTTTATGAAAAACTTGTGTGATTTTGTACTCGTTTGTGATAGCTACTAAGGAAAAAAAGGGACATAATATGATGACAAAATATTCTGATATCATCAACGTGAGGCGGGAAGTAACGGTGATGAGAGGCTGGGAATTTAAATAAATAAAATAAAAGGAGTTGGTGTATGTAATTATAAATGGTGATGATAAACGCTGAGCATGCGAGTTTGGTCCATTGATAATAATGACAACTTTTTTGCAAACATTCTTAAGGAGACTCAAAACAAAAAGATTTTTAAAAAATCCTATATTCTCTACCAAAATACTAAGGTTTTTTTTCAAACTTTACACAAAGGGTGTAAATCAACTTAATAATTCACCAATCTTTGGGGATTAACTCATGATACATCAAGGGTTTTTCCTTCTTACTCAGGTTTTGTTAGAACTCTTAATGCCAGCGGCAATATGATTTTTATTCAATTCATTCGAGAAATTGAACGACAACCTTAATAAAAAAAAAATTGTGTTTGAAAGAAAATGAATATAAATTGTCATGGTAAATGCAATAGGTTTTCATTTGCCCACAAAATGGTGGACGAGTGGTCGGGCGAATTTGGTAAAAGATAAAACTTTCATACCCAAATTTGATAATTTTTTTTTTTGCTGTTATTAATATTTTGTTGAAAGATCTATCATTTGGATCTTGGCCTAACTAGTTTATCTAATAATCAAAAATGCAAATGTTTAACTACCTTTTGACATATAGTCAGATGGCGATTCAATTCGGGATAGATAATGTAGTTGCTCTTTAGATTTCATGGATTTCATAGTCCGTGAACTCAGTTTATAGTGTTTGTTAAACCGTTAAACCATAGTTATAGTCTGTTTTTATAGCATTTTGGTGCGTTTCATACCGAAATTAATTGGATAGCCCATAGGATATATCAATAGAATAGGTTTTCATTTTTTTTAAAAGCATAAATATGTTATGCACCGCCAAAAGCAGAAGATAGGCCGGTCCTCTACTAAAATTCTTAAAGCACAAACTTTGGGCCGCAAAGCATAAGTAATTTGAGATCGGCCCATAATAAGTAAAGAATAAATGGAAAAACATATAAATAAACACCAATAATAAAATACGATTCAGATACAAAAAGCACGACAACACAGGACTCTCAAAATCAGGTTTGAGTGACCCTGACTAATGAGACATATACTACACAAACCTAAAACACAACATGGAAACCAACAGAAAGCACTGACAAACACTGAATCAAAGCCAAACAAAGTAAAAACAATACCAAAGAAAAAACAACACCAAACACCAAATTGTTAATCATAGTCCTCTTCATCTATTTGGACAACATGTCATCCATCCTATGCCCAAAGATTGAGTTTCTCAAGTACTTTCCTCCCGTATCTGTTGCACCTCATGAACGGATGGTTCTTGTTTATATGGTACAACAACTCATTTCGCATATCGTCCTATACACGACATACAAAAAAAAAAAAAATTAGATGATGATTTCATATAAAACAAATCTAAATCATGTTTATTTCTTACCTGAGATACAACCCATGCAGTCTGAATCACATAGTTTCCAAATGGATTTACAAGAAGTGAATCAATGTCACTTAGCAGCTCGTTTATGATCTTCCTCGAGTTAAATTGTCTGTTTTTCAAACATTTTTGCACAGCGTGACTCCCATACTTATCACAAGAGAGTTGAACGTAATTCCCATCGAGATATCTCGAGAGAGCAGCTGCTACACGACAATCTTCTAACTCCAAAACATATTGCACCACGTAATTTCTGACGAATAGATAAACTTTAAAATAAGAACAATGTGAGGTAAAATGATTAATGCAAAATGATGTTAGTTGTATAATATAAGTATCTTATTTTACCCGTAGCAGTTCACGCATAGACTCAGAGCATTAGCGATTATCTCCGAAATCAAAGGGTCCCTTATTTCTTGAGGAGATTTTCCAATGCACTGTTGAAGCATACAACATCCATGTTGATCGATTGCAACTTGGTAACAATTTTGAACAATCACTTGAAGAAGATGCTGTCAGGTATAGAATAAACCACATGGAAAAAAAGTCAGTAAATGCAATATACACTTTCATAACTCATTGTAAATCTCGATGGTTTTTCCACTTTTACATTACGTCCGATTTTACGAACATGTGATAGCCCTTGGTACATATATCTAGTAAGTTCACACATACGTAGATGTTTACTGTTATGAGCATCAAAAATTAGGTGAATGTTGATTATAAATTCTTGTGTTCCAAGGCAACTAGGAACAGTCGTTGCCACATAATCTTATGTCTCAAAGAAGAAAGGCTTACATTGCTTTGTGAAGGAGAAAAATGGCTGAAGCAAAACAAAATCACATGGTTCGCATTGGTGCTTTTGGTCAAAAGAAGTGCAACATGACATATAGTTGCGATGAAGCGTGATATTTGCTCATCAGAACAAAGGCATCGCATCAAATCCTGTGTTGCACGGGTTCTGTCGTCTCCAAAACAAAAGACAATATTATCAATTACAAAAAGACCAATATCATATAAAATAGACATAATAAGAATGATTAACAGAAGTGCGTACCCATGTGAATCGCCACAAATTCTTACAAACTGAATAGGTTGTTGAATGACTGTATCCAAAACCCGAGTGATCTGTTCTTCGTTGCATTTCTCAAGAAGCTTTTGAAGGACTTGATGGCCAAAAGGGTCGATCATCAGTTCACAAACATGTGAGATTAAATCATCAAAGATTTTGTCAATTGTTTCCCTTGAACCCTCAGCAAACATGTTTTGCAACTGTTTAGACTCTTCGCGGTCTTTAGCACGCGATAGTGTGGTAGCCCTAGGGTAACTCAGAGTGGAGGGATCGTGATTAGTTCCCATTCGAGGCACATAACCGTATGAATAACTCCAAGGGTTTTGATCTAAATGATGACTTGGGAAAAAAGGAACAACCCCTGAATTTCCGTTGAAGCCAGTTAGCGGAGAACCCATCACACCATTATGAAAATCATTATTGAATGGCTTGTGAGAACCAAATCCATTAGCACAATTATTCCTCGGAAACAATATTCTCTGCGACTGATTCATATGCTCTCGTTGAGCTTCTTGCTGATAATCCAAAGGAAACAAGTACTCACGACCATTCATACCTTGATCCCGACCGTGGAAAGGAGATTGATTGCTGCGACGATTGTCAATTAGCGGTTGTTGACGAACGTTTGAATCGGAGACGCCCAATCTTCCAAAACTGGATTCTAGGATTTGCAAATTTGACAAAGAAGGATAAGGAGAACGATTATCATTCAAAGACTGAAACATACTCTCGTAAGCTCTGAGTCTTTCCCGTAGAAGCAACTGATCATCTCCTCTTCCGTTCATCATAGCTCCTCCGCACGATAATGGAGAATAAGCAAAAGAGAGAGAGAGAGAGAGAAAAAAGGAGATATGAGAGAAAATAAACGTAAAGATCTAAGTAACAAGATTTTGTAGCAGATTTTTTGGATTTATCGAAAAGGAAAATAAATGAATAAAAAGGAAAGATATTAATGAAAGATTTAGAGAATATGTGACTAACGAGAAGAAAGCTGTTAGGCTAATTAACGTGATTAATTGCAGAAAATCAACTAATATCTTTTCAAATCTCTAAAAATGTATATTGGCGTATTGCACAAGTGAAAGGTTTTCCTTTCAAGGTCCCATGCTTATTGATAGTTTTAAATTTTAATTACAAATTGTGCTTTTTCAGTTAAAAATACAGTCAAAGTCAAAGTCAACGTGAATCACTTCAGCTAAAACAGTCGCTGGTTTATTATTCCTCTTGATTTTATTAACTTACTAATCGAACATGACGCGTCTGTCGTTACAAAACGACAAGAAGAGATTTTACACATTGCTTCAAAGAGAAGTTAATTAAAGGCAGCTAAACAACCAGACCATCTCTAATGGTTGCGTTCTTGACCACCACGGTAATGCCTGATCTTATGTAAAACCCTTCCTCTGCCCTATCTCCTTCTTCCACGCCCTGACACAACAACAACAACATCAGACGATGTAAACTTCTTAGAAAATAATAACTAAAGATTTATCTAAAACAAACATACATCTGCATTCGCTATGATCACGTTCTTCCCGATCTTAGCGTTCTTGTCGATGATACAGTTCCTGTAAATATATACACAACACAAGCAAGAAGATGAATGCTTATACGATAAGACGATTTAAAACTTTTTATCTCTCTACTCAGCGTTCGAGTTAAAGAGAAATGTTTTACCTGATTTTTGTGTTCTCGCCTACACCAATCGGAACTTTCCCTTCAGCCAATAGAGACGCGATCTCAGCTTCTGTTTGGTAGAAATCTGCTCCCATCATCATCGTATCCCGAAGCTCAACTCCTGACTCTACACGTGATCGTATCCCCACAATAGAGTGCTTCACACTGCATTCTCTCAAGAAACATCCATGTGAAACTATAGAATCAAGTATCTGCAACAATTCCAGAACAGGCTTTACAAGTTAGGATAGGTGAATTATCAGCTGGAAATCACGGGGATAAACAGAGATTCAAGAACCGTACCCTGCATTTATCGACTTTGGTAGGTGGCAAGAATCGTGGAGAAGTGAAGAAGGGTGTTTTTGGATCATAGAACTGGAATTTAGGAGGCTGCCACAACAGAAATCAAATTGCATGATTAGTATGAGTCACCAGACTGATTTGGAGATTAAAAAAACAACAGGGTCGGCGAAAACCTGTTCAGTGAGGGCTAAATTGGCATCAAAGAATGATCCTATGGTTCCAATATCCTCCCAATAGTCATTGAACAAAAATGCCTAAGCCATTCCGATTTTGTATGTAGCAGCAAGTTAGTTAATATGAGAGAGCACATATATTGATTGTTATGATATGATATGCTAAACAGAAAAGAAAAGAAACAAAACCTGGACATTGTGCTCCTTTACGGCCAAGGGGATGATTTCAGAACCAAAGTCATTGGATGTAGGATAACTCGATCTTAGAAGCTTTAGTAAAACCTCTTTTCTAAACACATAAACACCCATTGATGCAATGTATGGGGATTCGGCAGCTTCTTTTGGTGGTAGCCCAAGAATTGAAGTGTCAACTTTCTGAAAACACGAGAAAAATACACAAGTTCATGTACCATCGCAAGCAATTGCGTAGTGAGCGTTTTGAGAAACAAAAAACAGTCCTTACCATTGCCTTTAAGTCATCTCCCTTTGGTTTCTCCGAGAACTGAACGATTTGTCCAGACTCGTCGATTTTAAGCAGCCCAAAATCCGAAGCACGGCTGTGAATAAGAATAAAAAGCACACATTGAGGAATTAATCAAGCGAAAGTAAGGCAAGAACGTGGTTAATGAATGATCCTCAGACATACCTCTCATCCATGGGAAGACAAGAAACTGTGATATCAGCATTTGACTCAATGTGCTTCTGCAAAAAACAGAAAACAAATGAAACAGAGTTCACAGGAAGCTCAGTTTCGAAGAATATGAAGAGTAAAACAAACCTGCACGAAGTTCATGTAATCCATCCGATATAGATGATCACCAGACAAGATCAAGACATGTTCCACATTCTTTGTCTTGGCATCCTGCATTAACACCACCAGATTATGTCATTTCACCGAAAGGAACACTTGTTGTGAGAGAAAAGACAAGATAGAAAACCTCGAAGACCCATATAAATTGCCTAACGGCATCAGCAGTTCCCTGAAACCACTTCTTTCCTGCATCTCCTGAAGTTTGCGTTGCAGCAAGAACCTAATCATTCCCAGAGAAAACACTTTAATGGCAGAAAAAACACACACAGGAAGAGAAATCTAATATAATGCGGGCAACGCTATCACCTCAACAAACCCATCACCGAAATTAACTCCATTGCCAAAGTTGTAAGTGCGAGAAAGGTGGCGATTGAGAGAGAAGGAGTTGAACTGAGTCAAGATGAAGATCTTTCTAATACCACTGTTGATGCAATTGCTCATCGGTATATCTATGAGCCTGTAACACCCTCCAATTGGCACCTACGATCCATTCACAAGTTCCAAACCTCATTGGACAATATAAATCAGAGAATCATTAAAAACACTGAGCAAAAACAAAGAGATCCTCACCGCAGGTTTAGCTCTGTTGCTTGTAAGAGGGAACAGGCGAGTCCCAGCACCGCCACCAAGTATGATAGACGCTACATTCTTTGGGTCTGCTAATGGAGTTCTCAGTAGAGGTTCCTGAAAAAATGCATTCTTTAATATGAAAACAGGACTTGGAAGAAGAAAACATAGCTACTTAGGAACTTCTTGCACAACCAAACCTTACAAATCCACACCTTTCAAGAGTCCTCCCTCACTAACTGCTCTCTAACCGACTCACAAAAGCTACAATCTGCTACATTCAATCCTATGCTAGTTATAGTAGACCTATAGCAAAAGTTTGAGCAGACCCATTGTGTCTTGGCTTATCCGTAACCTTAAGTTGTACATAACTATATCCAGAGAGGAATAGAGTTGAACGTAGAACATACAGAGAGACTACACAATACAAGATTCAACATAACCAAAACAAATCTTACATTCTTTTTTGGAATTGCAAGTGTAAATACTACTTACATGAGACTCTTGATCAACGAATGGGGAGAGAACAGAGCGAATGAGCTTTGTCTGAATCTTTCGAGGGCAACTCCTGATTTTCTGTGTCCTCAGATAATTGGCCTTGACGACTTGGGCTCCCCAGAACGCACTTGCTCTCTCAGAAACAACTTCATTCTTCAGACCAAAGGGACTCGTACGCTGAAGCCTCATGGCTTGACAGTAAGACTCCATAATGCTCGGAACAACTCAGATTCTCCAATGTTTTGAAGCAAAAATTAAACTTTCTCAAATGAACTGAAGGAGAAGACGTAGATCAGAAACTAAAAAAGATAAGCTTTAGAGAGACCCAGAACAAAAAGTGGAATTTTGTATACCCAGATTCGATTTTGGGGGTTGTGAGAAGAGATATGGAATCGAGAAGTCGACAAATTTTACAGTGGAACAGCTTCTCTCAAGTGTGAGCTTTAACTTTTCGGCAGAAGAGAAACGGAAAAGTGAGGAGATCAAAGAGAAAGAAGCTGATGTGTGAATTCATACAAAAAGAGAAGCAACGTGATGCGTATGATCCTCGTGACCTTCTGACCCTCGGATTTCTTTTTTCTTTTTAAAAAACAAACAAAAAACCCAAAAAAAATCTAAGGGTTCTGAAAACTGGAGCCTGCTTTTCAGTGTACTGTACTAAGCATAATATCTAAAGGGTATTTTTGATATTACAGCCATCAGAAAATATATAAAAAGTAACGTTGATGGAAAAAAAATCGATCAAATCAAGTTCTTATATATAAGATAACTTTTTTTCATCTGATTTTGGTCTTCAATATTGCATCATAACGGAATTACTAATTGTAAACAGTCTTTACATAGGAATTTATGATATGGTAAAACCTCTGTGTAGAATCATTAGATGATTTTACGTATTTTGCCAAAATGGCAACAATAGAAAAACAATAAATGGTAGTAAGTATTTTGGAAAGCATTTTCTGTTTATGCAATAACATCTACTGATACTCTTCTACTAAAAAGACTAGGTAAATAATCCGCGCTTTCGTGCGGAAACTCATTTTTTAATAATTATTTTATATAACTGATATTTTAAAAATATACATAAAATAGTTAAATCAATAAATTTATATTTAAATATATTTATTTAATAAGTTAAAAAGATAATTAATAACAACATAAACATTTAGAAAATAATCTATATCAAATATATGATTGCAAGGTAGTTTCAGAAGAATTTATTTATCAACAAAATGTTCTTCGCAAATCACACACATATATTATTAGTATGTTTTCCTTCATTCTTTGTTTCTATAAAAAATGTTATTATTTCCGATTAGATAATTACATTTTCAATAGAAAGTTTTGGTACAACAGTTCATTAATCAAAAAGCTTTTTAATTATTTGTTGCTTTCAAGTATCCTCGTAAGTGACATCTTAGTGAATATGTAATGTTGATAATAATGTCATGATTTTTGATTGGGAATAATCACTAGATTCAATCACTTCACAAGCCCTGAGTATAACATTCATTAGAATCATGTTTACCTAAAACCGGCAAAATGGGTGGGCCACCCGTGGGTTGTCTGCGTCCAAATGATTATGGACGGGTTATGGACAAGCCCAAAAATTTAGCGGGTTGAAATGGTCGATGTCCAAATTTGCCCACGGATAAAATGGAATGGACAGTGTGGACATTGGTCAGCCCAATAAACTTAAAAATCTAGGTCTAAATCGATTTGGGGAAAAATTGATTTTCATTCTACGCTTCTTTCCTTCGTTTCCAGCGAAACTTTTCGACAATTCATACTATTTTCTTCCAGTTTTTTCTTCGATCTACAAACTCTTTCTTCAATCTACAAGCTTTTCTGTCAATTTCTCCAAGAAATTTTCTTCATGGAGTTCTCTCATCAAGAAGATCCTCCACACTCAGTTCAGGTAAAGACTTAAAGTTTTCCTTTCTTCTATCTGCGATTTTGAGAGAGACCCATTTGCTCAATTTCGTTGGTGTTTTTGTTTCTTTGGAAAGTCAATGATTTCGAGAGAGCCCGATTTCAACTACTTGAGTTATAACTTTTGTTTGATTTCTTAGCTTACGAGTTTTAATGTTGGTCATTGCTTTGATTGAGTCGTGATTACTCTATCTGTGAATCTGTGATGGATTAGTGTTGCTTCTTCTTCTTCTACAATACTGTCTTTGTCCCTTGTTTGTTTCGCTTACTTATTTCACAATGGATTAGTGTTGCTTCTTCTTCTTCTATAACTTTTGTTTGATCTTCTTCTTCTACAATACTGTGAATATGTGATGGATTAGTGTTGCTTCTTCTTGTTCTACAATACTGTCTTTGTCCCTTGTTTGTTTCGCTTACTTATTTCACAGTGGATTAGTGTTGCTTCTTCTTCTTCTATAACTTTTGTTTGATCTTCTTCTTCTACAATACTGTGAATCTGTGATGGATTAGTGTTGCTTCTTCTTCTACTACAATACTGTCTTTGTCCCTTGTTTGTTTCGCTTACTTATTGTATTATATTGCGATATTATTTAGCTCCCCTGAGGAATCAGTTCTACATTTCTGCTTAATTTTGTTGACGTTTTTGTTTATGCGGAAGTCGCTGACTATGAGAGAAACCCATTTGCTGTTCTTTCAGATGGAAAATGAGGATACTCTAAACCTTGATGATGACTATATGTCTGGGGATGAAGAGAATCAAGATGAAGAGAAACGTACGAGAGGTAACACTAAACGCAAACGCTCTATGTGTTGGAGGAATTTTAAGATTATTGGAGATAAAATGTCTGATGGTAGGACTGAGGTTAGATGCAAGCATTGCAACCGTAGCTACTGTATAGATTTACGTAGGAATGGTACCAACACTATGTTGCGTCACATGAAAGTCTGTTCAAAGACTCCTGGAGGTACTCATGCATGTGGAAACAGGAAGCTAGATATCATGGTGTTTCGGGAAATGATTGATGTGGCTATAATTGAGCATAATTTGCCTTACTCTTTCGTTGAGTACAGAAGGATTAGAGAAGCATTTAATTATGCTAATTCTAGTATAGAGTTTTGGAGTAGGAATACTGCAGCAGCCGATTGCCTAAAGATCTTTGAGAAAGAGAAACAGAAACTTAGGCATACCTTGAGCGAAGTTCCTGGTCGGTTTTGCTTGACAACCGATCTTTGGAGAGCACTTACAATCGAGGGTTACATGTGCTTGACTGCGCATTATATAGACAGTAGCTGGAATTTGAAGACTAAGATATTGTCCTTCTGTGCTTTTCTTCCTCCACATACTGGTGTGGCTATAGCCACAAAGGTGTTGGCACTGCTGAAAGAATGGGGATTAGAGACGAGAGTGTTTACAATAACAGTGGATAATGCTTCATCAAATGACAACATGCAAGGCATTCTCAAGAGACAACTTCGGAAAAACTTGGTGTGCAATGGAGAATTCTTTCATGTAAGATGCGTAGCACACATCTTGAATATGATTGTGCAAAATGGTCTAAACGTGATTGATGAAGCTTTGGAGAAAATCAGAGAAAATGTAAAGTTTGTGAAGGTGAATGAGTCTAGAGAGCAATCGTTTCAGACTTGTGTCAAAACTGTGGGAGTTGAAGCTAATGCTGCAGGACTGGTTTTAGATGTAACAACCAGATGGAATTCTACTTATCTGATGCTATCTAGAGCGATTATGTATAAAGAAGCCTTTCGCCATCATGCTGAGGTAGATACAAGCTATATGACTTTTCCATCCGATTTAGAGTGGGCAAGAGCAGAGTCGATTCATGAGTTTTTAGCCCCATTTGCAGAAATGACTAATCGTAAACAGTTTACTTTCACTTATCAAAGAATTATTAAAATCTTTTTTTTATATGTAGACCTCTCTTCAGATATAAAATTAACGTCAGTAAAAGTAAATAACTTTAATATTGGTAATTGAAACTAAATTATTGTATAACTTGACAATTATAATGATTGTTTCACCACACTCACTTTTTAACAGTTCGTTTAATCTAACGCTATAGGAAGAAAAAATTATATTTTTTTAAAAAAATAAAACAGTAAATATGAGTGTTACCAAAGAGTGAAAATATATTATTTTTAATTTATTAAGTATACACGTATAAGTGCTCTTTAAGTAAATAAAGCAACTGTTGACTTAAATAATCTTTAAAAGAGAAAATTTATGTCCTTTTAAAATATGTCTATTCATTTAAAAATGGTTAATTTTTTTCCTATAATTGTTGGAATAATTTTTAATTATTATCTACATATTTGTATCCTGCTAAATATATATCTTAATGTTTCTGTAAATAAAAAATAAAGATTTGTTGTCGAATATTTATACTACTTTCTCTATTGTAGTTTTCACTGCTTTTAAGTACTGTTATTTGCTACGATGTAGTTCCAAAACTCTAAATTTAAAAAAAAATATTTGAAAAAGAAATAATTGCCATCTGATTTTACGTGAACCTGTTTTTGAGCACGTTCCTAATTGAGATGCTTAAGATACTGAATATTATTTAATACTTTTTCTAAACATTATTTTTTTTAGCCTTGATAAATTTTTAAACTTTTTAAATAAATGACTTTAGATAATACAACATATATTTGTCTATGACTAAAAGCTGGTCTAAGAAGATATAAACTCAGCCTCATTCTATGTGTCTTTTTATTAACGTTCATAACATCAGATTTAACTAATTTTTTTTCTTTAGTTTTAAACAATATAAATAAATTTGAAAAGATAAAAATTACAGTTATAATAAAAATATAACTATTTATAAAATATAATAAATTATATTGAAAAGACATAATCAACACAAAAATAATCCATAAGTCTCTCCATGGCTTCACACATCAGTATTTTCAAGCTTTTAGGAGATGACACTTCAGCAAAAAAAAATACCAATAAAAACATTTCATTAATACAAGTCATCAATATATTTAACTTTTATTTTTTTGCCAAACCCAAATAATAAATAACAACAAATAATAAAATTAAATCTTTGTTTTATATTTTTGCCAAACCGAAATTCAAATAATAAATAACAGCAAAAAAAAATTAAAATTTCTACCTATGTGTTTGCTTGATAGATACGTGAAGAAAGTGTAGACTCATCATCAACTATGCTTCTATAACAACAATGCAAAAAACGTTATGTTATAAGAAGCTCACACATCAGCAAAAATTTGAACCAATAAAAACATAACAATAATACATA